TTTTTTTTTTTTTTTTTTTTTTTTTTTTTTTTTTTTTTCGTGTGTGGTTGTTGTTGATTGTTGTCAGGAGCGCCCTCTAATTTGACCGGTCAGAGAGCGTTTTCTGTGCGCATTTTTCATGCGTATCTTGTGTGTTCCTAACCCTCATCTTTCTTACCATGACAGACTCTGGCGACAATAATAATCCTTCCAGCCAGCCTTCTGATGGAACTTCATCTTCAACAAAGCCTTCTTCCCAGGAGTCGTTGAAATGCGGTAAGACACCCTTCGTGTTCGTCGGTTCGGGCGAAAGATCTGGCCCAAATTCCCACGAAAGGAAAAAACAAAACAGAAAAAGAGCAAGCTCATATCTCCATTGTACTGCACTGACCAAATTGTTCGCTCGAATATAGACACGACCACTTGCCACGGACCTGCACGACCGGATAATGTTGCCCATCGTCCTTCACAAATGAATGCGTACATGGCCGCAAATAATGGACCATCCCTATCGGCTCACCCGTCATCTGCGTTAAATATGGACGGTATGAGCTCTACATTGCCTGGCTATCAATCGAATGTTGTTCAATTCGATCAGTACCATCATATGCAGCCTCAATTCGCTATGCAGTCCCCGGGGGTGTATTATCAGATGCACCCCGCCCCATCTTTTCGGGGTGGCGATCAGGCAACGGATGGAAGAACCCCGGCATATTCGATGACTTACCCCGTGGTATATCCACACTATTATCCACAACCGCATCAGCAACCGTCGTACCTGGGCATTCCCACATATGTGCACTCTCTTCCACAACACCCTGGCGTCAATGCGCCCATGTTTGGTCAGACACCTGGGTACGGCTCGGGCTATTACCCGTCACCGTACCCAATGATGTTAGGGCACGGGCCAGAACCACCTCCACGATTTGGCCCTCAGCATTGGAGGCCCCGTAGAACGGTATCGTCCGGGCCAGGACCCATCTTGCACACCGGACGCCCTCGGAGGCCTGTTCCCAAGCGTGCTGCTTTATCTGATTATCCAAACACCATTGTTGATGGGTCGAACTCGGCCAAGTCCACAAGGTCTAATTCTCGCGCATCTGGTAAGTATACCACCATTCACGCACGGATTTTTTTTTTTTTTTTTTTTTTTTTTTTTTTTTTTTTT